TAGAGGAAAAAGATAAATTGTGCTAAGATAAGATATGGCTTCCATCCAAGAAAACATCACAGTCTAGTTGGGGAAGTTGGCTCACATACAATTCAATATAATACATGTCATGTTGTGATACATGCTGTACATATAAAGAAGACCAGAGCGGGAAGGGTGTGGTTCAGAGGGAAAGGGTGAGACTTCCTGGAGGAAGAATAAAGCCGAGGAGGGAGAATTCTGGCCTGCTGGCACAGGAAATGTTTGCAGCTCCAAAAGCCATTAGAATATAGTTGGGTGAGAAAGGAGGAAGAGAAAATAGTTTCTACAGAGAAGAAAGGCATTTAATTATGGGTTTAATGGGGCAAATGGCTCTCAACCCCCAAAATGGTGCTTTCACTTTGTTTTCCATTTCCAGCATTGCCCTGGCCAGGTTTCTTTATTTAAAATTCAGATCAGCACAGTAAAAGTGGTACTGGGTTATGGGTCTAAAGTTATGTGTTATACCATTGCAGGCCAAACCCTGGGCATAAAAGATAGGGAGGTTTGAGGGAGAGAAGGTGTGTGAGAGTAAAAACAGAGCATGTTTGCAGAGCTGTGGTAAGCAGCAGGAGGATGAGGCTGTGGAAGGCCAACCTCAGAGTTCTGCTTTGAGTGGGAGGCTGGAGAGACACAAACACTGAGTTTTGTCCCCATGATCACTCTCACCTGAGCGACAGGGATTCCTGAGCAGTGCCTCTCTCTAACCTATCCTCCGGGCCACCACGTCGCCCAGGTAACTTTTCCCGTTGTCTCCAACATTGTTTCCCCCTGGAGAGCACTTGTAGGTGAGGTCCCTGTTTCCCACAGGGACAACTCTTGTACCCTTTCTCTTCAGTCTGAAGGGCCTCCGGGACCCTCTCCCTCAACTCAACAGATGTTTCTCACAGTGCACTGTGCTTATGGCTCTTAGGGTCACTTAAGTGCCCAGCAGGCTAGAGGGTTTTTATTTGCAGGAAGAAATCCTTTCAGCTAGACTGAACACAGGTGTACGAACAATAATTTCTGCAGGAAGATAAGACAGATTTGGCCCACCCCCCTGCTCAAAACAGGCCACATGGAGGATAATAAGACAGTGACTTTGAGCAGAGAGCAAAGTGCTACTTGAAAAAAGCATTTAGTAGGGAGACTTATTTATTCAAAGTTGTGCTTAGAAGCATGAACTTTGGATCTGCATGTCTGGGTTCAAATCCTGGTTCAGCTACTTCCTGTCTGTGTGACGGGCAAAATACTTTCACCTCTCTGTAACTCAGTTTCCTCCCCTGTAAGATGAAGAATACTGGCCAGGTCATTAAGTTAGTGTGGGGATTAAACAGATTTGCTTAGGTAAAGAACTTAGTACGCGGCCTACAAGGGCTCAAGTCCCGTGAGTTCCAGGACCATCATCACTACTAATCGCGGGTGGTGTTCTCGCTTGCCGTGGATGTGCCGTGGATGTGCCGTGGATGTGTCGTGGCAGCAACGTGAGACTTATTCTCTCCTTCCCTGTCTCACACGCCCTTACCCTTCTGCACGCCCCAGAAACTCGGATCCTCCATTTGACTATGCTCTTCACGCAGGCTCCTAAGCCAAGGTCTCCCTGTGATCACCCCCCTGCCCAGTGTTGTAATCCTGTGTATTCATGGCACGTTTCTGGAAGGTTTGCACATTCCCAGAGTCTGGGGAGGAAAGCTGAGCTGGGGTCAGAGAGTCCATGTCTTTGTCGGCCTTAAAGCTCAAATTGAATCAGGGGTGCAGAGTCAAGGGCTGAGCTGGGTAGTGTTTATATCATGAATCTGAAAGGGTGGGGAATGAGGAGGAGGGAGACCTGTAGCAACTAAAGGCATTGCCCCCCCAAAGGCATAGTCCCCCTCTCCCCACCTAAAAGCTTTGTCGTCCCCCCCCCACCTAAAAGCATAATCCTCCTCACCCCACCTAAAGGCAATCAGTTTGATTTTTAAAAATACTATGCTGCCTAAAGAAACACGGGAAACTGCTGCTGCCCTCATGCCGTCCATTTATAACCCTAATTGGTTAGGACAGCCCCGTCTGCCGCCCCCACCCGCGTCCTTCGGCCCCCTCGCGCCTCTGAGGGGAGCGCGGGGCTTACCTGCACTCTGGCCTCGGTGAGGTTCACCCGGCGGGCGAGGTCCTCTCGCACGAAAGCATCGGGGTAGTGGGTCCGCTCGAACACGCGCTCCAGAGCCTGCAGCTGGCTGCTGTTGAAGGTGGTCCGGTTCCTCCGCTGCTTTCTCTTTTTCTTTTCCTCTGAGTTGAGCTGATCATCTGGAAGGAAGACACCGATGATAAGGAGCAAAAGTCACATTGGGGGGGTCCCCCTTTACACTTCTTCACTGTGTATCTACAGTGAGATCTTGTTTCCTTTGCTCAAACAGCTTTACCAAGGTGCTAGAGCCGAACACCACGTCCTCTGTGCAGGTGTGGGCATAGGTGCTCGTTAAGGTCCTGTGCCAAGAACCGCGGAGGTTCTGATGCTTGGTTGCAGCTTTGAAATCTGGGACCAGACCTGAGCTGTCAGAGGGACGTTTCTCACATGCTCCGTGAAGCCTGTTTTGTCAAAGAGGCTAAAGGAAAATTTCACTGCTGCCCATGTTCTCTAGAGCTGGGGGAGGAGAGAGTAGATGGCTTTCGACCTTATTTGTCTCAGACAATATTATGTTCATTCATATAGTTTCATAATCAAGGAGACCACCTCTCCCCTGGTTCCCTCTCCTCCACATAGCGACCTAAACAAATTCAGAATTATAGAGGAGACGCCACCTTCAAACTGATTAGAGAGAGGGGTTTCTGTTTTACTGTGCAGTCACTCCTGGAAACAGCCAGTAATCCCCAACTGTATTTGCTCAAGGCTCTGTGCCATTGCTGCAGCCTCAGCCTAGAGCAGGGCTAGTGCTTGCTGCACCGTCGACCTAAGCTGACCGTGGCCTGGGACTTGCCCTGTCATGCTGTGAGAACTCAAGAACAGGGAACAGCACGGAAAGAGCTCTCACAGTTTTACCCCCAAATTGAGGTCTAGGGCCTGAAGACCTTAGTGTCCTTTGGAGAATCATGACCCCAAGTTTTCACTGTCCAGTTTCCTCCTTGGTGTCCTCTGAGTTCCTCCAAAAGTACCCCGGCAAGCTGATCATCCATCCCATTTACAGCAGCCAGAGTCTCATGTGCTCCTGTCTTGCCACCCCTGCTCAGCCCAGTGGGGTGAACTGAGCGGAAAACCAGCAATGCTAACACCCCATCAAGCTGTCACTCCAAGGACCATGCCCCTCCCGAGTCTGTGCAGCAGAGACGTACAACATGAGCTGCTGGGCCCTGGTCCTGTGCCTGGCCTGATGAACTGGACATCCACTTCCAAGAGCTCTCTCTCCACAAAGAGATCAGCCCAAAGAGAAACGGGTGGGGTAGGAGAGGATAGAGAGAGGAGCTTGGCTACGTGCTCCACATGCCAGAGGAAGGCACTATCGGCTATTTTTCCAATGTGTAAAGTCTCCTGATCCTCTCTGACTATAAACACACAACACACTCAAGGAGACCACTCGCTCCAGTATGATGTCCCAATAAAATGGCGCCTACCTGAGCTCTGATATTATCCTTATTACAAATCGAGGGAATGCTGTAGATGTGGGTGTGCATTCAGAGTGTAGCTTAAATCCAGGAGCTCCCTACCCAGGTCTCTCAGTGCCTAACAACTGAGACTTTTAAATCTTTCTGGTCAGAGACCTCTTCCTCCTGCAGGCTGCCCCACGAGCAATGCCCTCAGAGCTTAGAAAAGAGATGGTACATTTCTTAAAGCATCTAGATATAGTAAGTGCTTGAAAATTTGTTTTCAGGGAAAATGGGAAACTTTTCTTGTCTTTGCATACTGTTTCTGCAGGAAAAAAACCCACCTGTATGATCTCAACCACTTTCCTCTCACTCAGCAGCCCCGATAGTCATCTCTTGGCTTTATAGTCGGTCTGGCCCACCACCTCTCTGGTTTCCTTATACCTCAGCTAGGAGATCTGCTTTGAAGTCACCACTGTGACACTCAACAGCAGGGTCAGATCGGTGGCATCTTGAGAAAGGAGCCAATTTAATGATCATGATTTCTGGGATCTCTCAAGGCCTGGAATATTTTAACCAACATCCCCAATTACACCACTGTTTAGTTATCAGCAAAATTCATTTACAACAATGTCAACACTAGAATCTAGAATGCCAGCACCTAGGATCAAACACCTGTGAGCAGTTCATTGCATTGCATTTGTATTTTTCTTCCTATTTGCATATTTGGAGTCATTCCTGGTGTTCCCCTTCTCTTTCCCAAATTTCTTTGTCTACAGTTCTGTTTGTCTCATACTTCATGCCTCTCTGGGTCATCTGGGCCTTTACAACAACACCACAACCTGCATTTCATGTTCCCCTAAGACAGAAGTCTGCAAAAAATCCTTAGCTTCCATACCTACCCTAGACCGAGACCAACAAGACCATAGGCTATTGTTTTTAACTGTATAGAGGAAATCCCTTATTAAGCCAATGCCATGATTTGTTTTTTTCCCTCAGAGAAAATGCTTTCTCCGGAATAACCACAAAGTCACAACCCTTTGTGCTGTTGTGTAAGCCCATTTCTCGGGCTGTCAAACTGTGATCGCGAACAAGAGTATTTTATGTTTTGTTCTTAGTTCCATGACCTGCTACAGAATCTCTCGGTAGTTGTTTGACATCTTCCACTGTTCACTCAAATCCCACTGACTGTCCACCGTCAACCACCAGCTCCCCTGAGTGGGAGCCAGGGAAATGGAGAATTAGAGTTTCTGACAGAGAGTAACTAGCTATGATGACCTGAGACCATTCAGGCAAAAGTTTCCCAGCAAATGTTCTTGTCGTTTTTAACAAATGAAAACACCAGTCCAGATCATGTCGAAGGTGAGAAAGACACACAGATGACAGGGGTCCAGGGAGTCTGGGTCTGGCCAATGTCCTTCAAAGTGTGAGTGTAATAGAAAGAGACAGTGAGGGGGCAACAGGGACAGCTTGAGCAGCAGCTCTCGGCTCGTCTGTCTTTGCTCACGAATCATAAAGTGTGAGTCCCCATCTTCCTGCATGAACACACAAGCACAGGGCCCAGCACAGTCTCTGCAGCAGCGTGAGAGGAAACTAAATGCTGTAGAGGTTTACGAATGGGGCATCGGAAGGACCTATGAGAAGCTCATCAGATTCTAGACTGAACATAAGTACTGATGTCCAGTCAGGAAGCAGCTCATTCCTTGGAATTCAGAAGTGGGTAGGATTTGCCCAGCTGCAGAATAACCACAGGGGACATGGGTGCATCTTTACCAGAATCATAATGCTTCAAATCCAACATGTTTATGGATTTTATGGATGATTATGTATGTTACAGATGACAATGAATTGCAAGCATGACCAGGTGCAATAGTGAATCATAAAATACTAGCATGAAATGAAATCAGAGAAATTGTCTAATTCAACCCTGGTGTTTGACAGATGAGGTGAAAAAGACCTAGAAGGATAAAGTGACTTGCCCCAAATAACAATACAAGGTGTGGCTGAGCCAGGACTCCTAATGCCACTCCACTCTCAAGAGCAGATGACAGTGTATGTGCTGCGCATGAGAGGAGCACTAGCTCCAGCCTTGGCTCCAGCATGAAATTCACTCTGGACTCCACATGGGGCTGCCTGAGTCGGTGGAGAAGACAGTGGGAAGTGCCATCCTCATGACTGAGGACCAGGCAGCAAGCCATGATCCCTACTCAGGAAGGCCTTGCCCTCAACACGTGGGCTTCAGCTAACTCCCCAAGACCCTGACCCTCTTCTGCTCTCTGTCATGTGGGAGGAGCCCTAGACAGTCCAAATTGGGATGCCAAGTATAATTTCAAGGTACAGCAAAAACATATTTTAGGAATAAAATCTGAAGAGCAATGTGTTGTGTGTGCCCAAATCCCGTCAATTTGGGGAGAATTCTGATGCAAGAAGATAAAATGCCAGCTTCAGTAGCAGAAACCAGCGGCCACATCAAAGCTTGTCTCCTGCCTTTTGGTTGAAAACATGGCAGGCGAGCGGATCTGAAGAGCAGCCCGCTGATCATTTTATGGGTATGGAAGAATGTTTTCAAAGGACCTGCATTGCACAACAACTACTTACTTTAATGGGATTTGTGTGGTTCAGGCCCTGTAACCTTAAGAAAATTGAAGGGAGGTATAATTGCAAAAGCCACTAAAAACCGTTTTAGCTTTTATTGCAAGGCCTATGAAAAGCAGCAAGATAGAGCTGCGGCATCCACTTGCGTTTCTTTGGTTACACTAAGTTTCAGTTGCAATTAGGACATCATCCTTTTAATATGGGCCCCGGTGAGTGGCACGTGGGTCGCCTAACTGGGCTGACTATAGATGGAGCTTAGCGCATCACAGTGACCAAAGCCAAGGTCAGCAGCACATCCATACCTTTCAACAGCACACCTGGCATCGTCCACCACTGAATCCTCGCATCCGTTGAAGGGGGCCAGGTCTCTGCCTGTACAAATACCCAGCTTTGCACCTATTGTCAGCCAAGGGTGCATTATCACCTTATAGGGGCCAGACTTGGAATGTTACGTTATGCTTTTTGATGTGCATATCTTTTTTTTCCTTCTTACTGTCAACTTGGCCTAACCATGGTTTATTTTTAGTCAAGTATTGGTCCTAAACCTTATATAATAGCATTAAAACACCTTAAGTGTAATTTGGGGAACATATTTTCTTGGGAGAATAAAATGCTGTAAAAAGTGCAAAATTAACTATTTTGAATGGTTTTGACCACAAAGATGAGTCAGTAGCTCTGGCTAAAGCTAACACAGTTTTATGTCGATACAGCTCAAAGTTGAGCTCTCTCAGTATAGCCAGCCTTCCCTCAAAACAGAAAACATGGAAGAATGTGAGATAGCGTATTGCGGTTGGCACTGTGTTTGACTTCATCTCACGTTTCCTTCCACCTCTCTAGGACCAATGTGTTCCACTGAGCCAAAGTGTTAGCACAATTCATATTGCCTTTTCCTCTTTAACTCTCTTAAGACATTCTTCTGAAAGGACTCCTAATCAGAAACCCCAGGACCTCCAACAACATACAGCAAGCCTTGCATGCAGTCCTCTCTTAGAGCCCTAACTTTCTTCTGGGGCTGTGCTGATCATTTGCCCCATGCTGGCTTGTTCCATGTGACTCTGTTTTAGACCGTAACTTTAGAGTACAACGTTTATGTTTGTATTTCATCGAAGCTCTTAGCAATGCTCAGTAAATAC